GGTCTCAGCTGGGCGTGACTTGAGGGCCTTTCGATGGGATCGGGTCCACTTGGCGACGACTTGGGGCATCCGCGAGATGTCGAACAGAAATACCCTGCGTGGTCCATCGGTGATGAATGGATTTAGATGACCGACTACGACATTTTCCCCCCACTTTCGACGCTATCTATCGCATAGCGGTAAACGCAAGCGGGGATAACAACCGACTGACAGCTCGGAACCCGAAACCTTCCCAGAATCGACCTCCACCCCGATAAGGGCTCACCCCTTCCCAGAATCGACCTCCACCCCGATAAGGGCTCACCCCCACCTCCTCACACCGTTAGGAGCCTCGGGTCGAAGGAGGTCATTGCCTCGCAGGCGGGGGGGAGTGGGAGGGGGGAAGTTCACGGACGCCCTTGCACCTCCCCTCTCAGACCCATCGCGGCTGCCTGTGCGTGCGGATGGCGCGACTGCTGATCTGTCTGCTCGCGTGCGCGGGAGGGCTGACCAGGGGGGGCCTGGCCCGCGACGAGAGGGCCTTCGGGATCTTGGACCTGCTCCTGCCGGAGCCGGATGAGAAGCCGGTCTTCTCGTTCGAGCCAGGCTTCCACTACGCGCCGAATTATCCGGGCGTGGATCCGCAGCTCCTCTTTCCTCCTCAATACTTCCCTCCTCAGTTCCTCCCGCCTCAATACTTCCCTCCTCAGTACTTCCCGCCTCAATATTTTCCCGCTCCTCTCGTTCCGTCGAATCCCCTCCAGGCTCTCCTCGACAAGCTCAGTCTCGCCTCTGCCCCCGTCCCGACTCCCGAGAAAGGTCAGTCCTTTTCTTGCCTCCGTGGAATTCGCTGCCGTCGCGCCTCGCGGGATTTCGTGCAGCTGGGGGAAGACTTGCGGGATGCGATCGCCGTTTGTCGCGGGTCCGTGACGTCACGAAATCTGGGGGCAGCGGCTTCGATCGATTCGGAGTTTTGAAATTGAAAGAAAAAAAAAGAAAAGTATCATTGCGCGCTGCGGAAGAAAATCTGTCGATGAAATATTCAGTTTTTCGAGTATATTTCTTCGATTAGCATGACCTCATAATTACTTCGTTTTCGGGATAATTTTGACTTTGACCAGGCACTCCTGCCAAAGCTCGAGTAAAAAAAAAAAAAAGAAACAAACGAGTTGCCATCGGCCCGAAATTTCGCACTTTCGGCAAACGTGACCTCATCGAGCTCTATCCGGGTCGTTTCAGGTCCGGTTGGGCCGCTGGGCCCGCTGCTGGGGCCACCGCTGGGACCACCGCTGGGCAAGCCGCTGGGGCCGCCGCTGGGGAAGACGTTCGGTCCCTTCTCGGGGGCGTTCGAGCCGTGGTTCGGGCCGGACGGGGCCCTCTTCCCCTTCCTCGACAGATTCGCCCAGGAGACGATGGAATCCCAAACTGGTCTCTCGCCTTTTTCCCTCGAGAGTTCCCTACTTTGCAGGCGAAACGTGATGCGGGGCGTCGACGGGGAAGATCCCGCGATGTGCGGGCTTCGCCGGAGTTTTCGGTGGGATCGGTCGTTCGGAACCCGACTAAGAGATTTCAGCGTGTCGAACGGGTGGGGACTGTGTCGCCTTGGCTTGAAGGCTCGATGTCTCTTAATGTGATTCGGGTTTTGGAAGACCGATTTCGTTCGAGTTTTCGTGCAGGCATCTGCACGTGGTGGGGGGGGGGGCGTGAATTTCCAGTCGATGCCTCGAATCGTGTTCCGTCCTGCTTCCGCCCAGGAAGAGAATAACGGGTCGAATTTCATGACGACCGGATGGCTTGGGGTGGGGGGGGGGGGGGGCGTCGTTTTTCTTTTCTGTCTGCTCTTGCTTCCTGGGTCTGCTCGGTCGTGTCGAAATAACTCGACTGTAAATATTAAAAGAAAGCGCCTATTTTGATGTTGTGGATCCCGAAACAGGTGGGAGGTACACTGCCTACCTCAAGAAGTTGGTGAGGGACTGGATGGAGGCCAGGGCAGAAGCGATTCGCAACAGGTTCGGCAACGACGTCGGAAGCGAGAGATTCCTGGTATGCTGTTCTCCTGTGACAGGGAGAGGGCGCTCCTGTGACAGTGGCGCTCCCGACTGGCTCCTGTTTTGGGAGGGCGAAGGAAATTTTCGAATTTCGCTTTTTTTCCCGTAGGTTCCGGTCGCGTCGGGCCGCAACTGGTGGTACTCGACGGCGAACCGGATCGTGGACGTGCTGAGGGAGGCGGGGCGGTCGTCGTGCAAGACGATGTCGGGGGAGGGGGAAGGAGAAGGGAGGTGCACGACGGTGCTGGGGTGCCACCTGCAGGGGGGGACGCCGGATGGGTTCTGTCCCACGGGGCTCGGGGTCTGCTGTCGCGGTGAGTCCTCTCTTTCTTTCTCTAAGCTTGCGGGGACGGGGATGCTCGGTGGTGCCAGAGCGAGACGCTTGGCTGGGTGAAGGACGGCGTCCGGGGTGAGCGAAGGCGAACTCGATCGGTGCGGATCGCTTTCCGAGGGGCAGTAGCTGTTAAGGTTATTTATTTTAATTTTATTATCATTATTATTATTTTTTTTTACGGAGCCTTGCTTTGATGCTGGTCAAGGTCCTAATTCATTCAGAAAATTGCAGACATTCTAACTGTTGACCTACGAGCCAGAATGTCGAAGGTTTTCAAACATCCCCAAAGTCATACGATCGGCGTCAAAAGAAATGAACGAGCGGCTTTTAGGTACCCCAACAGTACTCCATCGGAGACTTCAAATTTTTTGTTTTTCGCAGGAGGTCTAGCAAGTCCGACCAAAGCGGCAACCGCCTCGACCGTGAAGGATTCGGAAAAGGCGGCAAGCCCCGAAGAAACGAAGGCGGCGAGCTCCGAGGAAACGAAGACGGCGAGCTCCGAGGAAACGAAGGCGGCCAGCCCCGAGAAAACGAAGGCGACGGCCGAGCCGACGACCCCGAAGCCCACGACCCCGAAGCCCACGACCCCGAAGGACCAGAGCTGAACCGAAATTTTCCCTCGAAGAAAACCGACGAAATCCACGATCTCATTCACATTTACGGATTGACTGGATGAATAGAGGATTATTTGTGCAGTACGAATCGCTTTTTCATTCTCCACTTTTTCCGTCCAAATTCAAGGGGGGCGTTGGGCATGAAGACCTTTCGGAGTTTTGCACAGGATAGAAAAAAAAAACTCAAATGAGCAGCATGGCAACTCTGGGTCGACAGTCTGGATGGTCCCGCAAGCAGAAGGTGACACAACAGTTAAGTCAAGAATAAAGGCAACGGGAAATTGTTCTGACAATACGATTCAATATCTAACAAGTTTATGCAGAAAATTCGGAATAGGCAAATTCTACTGGAGGCATGGCACATACCGTGTGCAATCGACTCGGCAAGCTTCAATGCTGCATGCTGCTGGGGAATCGGCGTGTTCACACGAAGGCGTACGGACGCCGACAGGCACGAGGTCCGGCCTCGTCAGACCTCGAAGGAACGACGCGAGGATGCCAGGAGAGACCTGGTCGATACCCATTCCCGCTTGCGGTCGGGTCGGCCGCACCCACGCGAGCGAGTCGTCGGACTCGAGCGGGCGGACCCGACTTCGCCTCTCCTTCGCCTGCCGCTCTCGCTTCCCCCACTGGGCGCTGGTGTCCTCTCTTGTCGGTCCGTCCTGGGTGATCCTGCAGGACGAAAGGCTCTTGTTCGCTCCTGTCTTCTCTGTGGCGAAATCGCAAGATCCGGATCGGTTTTTGACGACTTTCGCCGTCACCTTGATGGTCAGATTCATTGCTTTTCATCGTTTCACATCTCGATCGAGATTCTCGTTCCCCTCTTAACCCTCTAAGCTTGACCTGTCATGAAGGCGCATTTGACGAACTTGAGCAAAAACCAGAGCGCCTTTGTAAAAACCGTTTTCCCCGTTGCTGAGCAGATCAGCGCTTCTTGTAACTGAAATCCCGCTCATTTCGCTACATTTTTATTTATTTATTTAGTTTCTCGATCCGTTCCGTGTTCAGGAGCTACGAAGTTAAGAGTCGTGGGGTGGGGGGGAATCCAGCATGCTACTTCAACCGCGAAGTTTCGGCCTTGGCAATCGATAGCCGACCTCGTTGAGTATTTAATTTACACTTCATGTCGGACCATATAATCTTCTACATTTACCTCTACACATTTTTAGCTTATGGTTTTTAGACCAACGACGGGACCCCGAAGAACAACGTGGAAACCGTGCCAGCGCGCTCCAGAGCGTTCTGAGGAGCCACGGTCCCCATCCAGACTGCACGAACCAAGAAGTAACCAGGCGATAACGCCACGAACCGCGATAAGGCAAACCCCCGTCGCTGGAGAATCATCCGAAGAACCAGGATGTTTTAGTATTACTAGTATAATTTTGTCCAAGGTATGACTTTGGGCGTCTCTTTTGCTAGGGACCCTGCTGAGGCCTCCAGCATCTGATGACTTCATTTTAAGGCTTAGCTGCTCAGCGTTCTCATAATTTGCTGTGTTCCGCTCGCAGCTGCTTGCCCAATAGTGACGTCATTCAATGACGTGATCTTGTCTCATTTTCGCCAGCAGCTGCTAGTGGCTAGGGAAAAAGACCAGCCCGTATTTTACGCTAGCAGCTGCCAGCTGCTAGAGATGGCGCTCCCTTAGTCCACCTTTAGGTTTTGTCCATGGGCCATACACATTTAACCATTGGCATTCCTGTTCTGGAGATGGAGAGAAGTTTGTGACCATCCTCGGACCTATCTTGCTCTCCTCGCTTAAATAGCTTGAAAACTCCGTAATTCAACCATTATAGGCCCAATCACCTCATAAGTAATGGATTGAGAATCTTTAGGCGATAAAAGGAAGGCCCAGGCCTAACGGGCCGTCATCTGAGCAATCCGATGCACTGCGTACGGTTAACTGTTGGCGACTGTACATGGAATAGGCCTACCAATTCTCAATTATCTTCTGATTTTAATTAACTGTTGCTCCAATGATGTTACAGTATTTTTCACTTGAGTTAGACAATTTTTCACTTGACTCAAATGAATGGTTATTCTTTGGCCTTGTAAAAGGAGTAGCCATCTCTATAAGGGGGCAGCAGCAAGTACTGGTTACCACGTTCTTCCCAGTTGCTGAATTTCATTCCAGAGACAGTTCTGGGGCAGATGCATGTCTCTTTGACTTGACAAACTTTCAAAGAGTTTTATTTTCCCTGAAATAGGTCTTTTGTGGATGTCCAGAGGACTTCTTCAAGGCAACTTGCCAGCTTTCTTGAAATGTTCTATTATATCATGCACTGTACTTTTGCTCAAACTCAGCTGTAAATTGATGCCTCTTTCAGGTTTGCCATCCAAGTGATTTCCAATTACTCTTTCATGAAGTACAACTCCCACTGGCATGTCTCATGGCATTTTTGGACATGATTGGGTTCTTGAGGGTCTTTAAAAGGACTCTTTTAGTTTGTAAAGCAGGTAGCTTATCTTCTTTAAAAGGCAACAGTTATTACCTAAAATTTTTTCCCAGCGAGTGAAGAGATTACTGGATGGAACCAGTTGCTTCATCACCTTTGGATAGTTGAATGATAGTACATTTTGAAAAATTTTTCTGATTAATTCTAGTAGTTCATTATTGAGAACTTCAAGAAAGCATTCACATATGAAAATGCCACAAGTACAGCCAGTGGAAGCTGAACTCAGGGAAAGACTGGTCAAAAACCACTAGAAACATAAAAATTAACAGCAATCACCATACAGCTCAGTTTGAGTGGAAGTTTTGAGCACATCACCTAGCATCGTTGAATGCAATTTCGGAAACAATGTGATACCATCACTCAAGAATAATGCATCAACCTGGTCTCTAGCATGCCTCAGCAATTGGATGCCCTGATTGCTTCAAAAGGCAGTGTCACAAAGTTTTATCTTGGATGCTTGAACCATTTTAGAACATATGATGCATTGCTCAAACTATTTTGGAGTATGTAACGCTAGTTTGAGAATTGATAACTTTTTTTCAGTTCACAATAATGGGATCTACTATGAGGTATGGTGAGATTAGGTGTTGGAGTCATTGACAATACCGAGTTTGTCTCAATACTAATGTCCACTTACCTAAAAAAATGAAAAATAAAAAAGAGTTCTCAAAGAAAACCAACATGCCTGTACCATTTTTGAAGTATATGAATATATTGGTAATATATATTTTTTGATGATGCATTTAACCCAGGAAACACTTGAAACTTGTCACATATCTTGAGCCTTGGCAACCTGGAGTGGTCATATTACAAGCTCTGCCCAGGCCCCTGCATCTGGTAGCTTATACCATGGCCTTCCTGGGCATGCACATTGTACTGGGGTTGGGGTTGGTACTCGTTGACAGACCCAATTTTCATGGCACATTTTCCTACACCCTTCTGGTCTAGTTTTTGTCAGTCCAGTGAGACCCATCATTGCATTGGCACAGTTGGTGGACCCCCATAATTTTCTCCCAGGTTCAGTGTGGGCCAAAGAGCCAAAGAGGGAGGAAGTCTGGAAAGGGTTGCAGGTTAAAGTAAATGATCGCTAGCAAACTCCAATAAGGGAAGAGTCTGACAAAATGCAAAAGTAACCTGCCCATGCCACATATTGAACACTAATTTAAGCAATTGAATTCAGTAAGGCAACTTTATTTCACATTAAAAGCAATGGTTCTCATCTACATGCACTCTCCTGCTATGGCAGCAGCCATACTGATTCAGGAAGTTGGCAGTAGTCTCACACATCTCTCACCATTTGCCAATATCTCAATGACAAGACTCGTGCTGACCATTCCTGACAGCTTTCTCAAACTCAAACTCAAAATTGCCTACCTAACCCCAACTATGCTGACTTCCCATGTTCCACCATGAAGCTTCACTCTAATCCCCATTCTCTGTATTCATCCATCCAATGCATGCACCCCATCATTGCCTCTGTATATTCCTAGTGTCCACTCAAAAAATGATTATTCCACCATTAAAAGTGACATGCCAACATGTTGCCTTGAGCAAGAAGTAACTTTTCATTCTAAACCAAAACTAAGTTTGAAAACCAAAGAAAATGTAACCAGTGATCATTGACCTGTCAGTGGTGTGAAAGGTCAAAGAGGAAGAAAGTCGTTGGGTTGCAGCCAAAGGCCATGATTATTTTTTTTACCCAACTGACCCGTCATTCTCCAAAATAGGCTGACTTTCTTACTCTTTTTCGCTCAACACAGAAGGAATGCAAATCCCTTGGTATGTGTGTATATTTAATTCTATGTGATGTGCTTGGATTTAGTGAAAACCCACAAAAGCTGGTGAAACGTTAGTCTTGAGCTTCGAAGGGATTATGAAATTAGATATCTTCAAGACCACCTGAGATTGATGTTTAATGTGTCGCTGAAGTAATTGGTGCTTGAGAAATGGGAGTGCTATGCTTGATTAGCATCGTTCTGTGGGAGTATGTGACTGTTACTGTTCCAATGAAAATGGGCATTCTCAGCCTCCATTCAACATGGCTGCCCTCATCTGCTGTATTTTCCATAGAGAATAATGTAAAGTCATGGTATGCCAAAAAATGGCCTAATCATGTGATGCACTTGTCTTTCTCAAAGCACCAATTGTTGCGTAGCAACATTATACATCAGTCTCAGATGGTCTTGAAAATATCTAGGGTGGGAATGGATTCTAAACATGTTCCAAAGTTGAAATATATATATTTAAATATTTCCTTTTCTTTCAGATCATAAAATTCAACATGGCTGCCAAAGTGATACAGTTACTGCGTGACAACTTGAAACTGATTGAGGATTCAATTGGCCTGAAATTTGGACAAGAGCCATACGAAAGTTCTGCTTGGAAATTCTTCATCAACATGTTTCACATAGGACAGAAGATGGACCAACATGCTCTCATGGAGAATACTGAAGTGTTAATGTTGCTGAAAGAAAGTTGCTCCAAGCTGCCAATGCATCTTGGTTGGCTGCAATACTTTGTAATGATGTTCACATATAGATTTTGTGACAAAGAATGGTATGGTGATGCCAAAACAGAGTGCATCATCAGATCAGGGATTCAGTATTTCAAGGATGTGTATGGAGGTGTTGATATTGATGGCTTTGGCGATAAACTGGACAAATATCCTGTAGGAGAGGTCACAAAGGTCACACTTGTCAGGAGTCAGGAGTCAGGAGAGTTAGTGATATCAAGAGGCGATTTCGCCCATTTTGATATCACGTGTCGAGGTCGAGCGTTCTCCTTAATCATTCTTGTGGCCCTCCTCTGTACTCCCTCGAGCGCCAACAGATCGCCCTTATTTGTAGGCCTCCAAAACTGTAGGATAGAGCACATAGGGCTGACTTGAGGAACTGAGCACAAGGGATTGCCAAAGAGAAGACAGGATGGAGTGACAGGAAGAGTTGCATGCCACACACACAAGATATAATTGACAACTACAAGGAAACATGCCTATCATGGGTCATCTTTGAGTTTTTACTTTATATTGGCCTTGTCACACTCCTCCTGCTCTGAACAGGAATTTGTTCTTATATTTGAAGAAAAATAATCAATGTTTTAGGGTTTATGACACAATATGCAGTTCACAATGACAAAGGTCATTGTAACTGCTGGAAAAAAAAGTTTAATTTGTGAAGGAAGATCAGATTCATCATATCTAATACATCACAACAAAAATCACATATTATTACATAATTTTTCAGAAAGAAATGATTGTAAACATCATATAAATTGAATTCTCAAGTCTAGATCTCATGAGATCACAACAAATTGAGGAAATATATCCCCATGTTAATTATATTTTGACAGTGAATACATTTTCAAACAAAATCAGTTTTTTACATAACCATGGCTTATGTCAAAGCAGCATGAAGGTAGTACAATACCTCGTATATTCATACCAGAGGTCAAGGATCGTCAAAAATAAAAATAAAAAAGATTACAGCCATCAAGTACAAAAACAGGCAGCCAGAAACATGAACATTGATGTTGACATTCAATCCAGTATTTCCATATTACACAAAATAAAATGGGGAGAGAAAAAAGATTACCCATCAGGCTTATTTTACCTCCAGGATGGAAGAGATGAAGAACACTGTTATTTTCATTTAGCTAATTTTTATTGTGTTTGTGTTTTGGGTTCTGACCCCAGGACAGAATTTCTGAGGCTCATTGTTTGCTCCCCAATGTCGTATACTTTCTGAAATATTGTCAAGTAATCGAATGCCACCTGAAGTAAATGTGTCAAACATGAAGTCCTGATCTTGCTTCAAAGTTGAAATAAATTTTTGTCAAATGTAAAATCCTAATCCTACTTCAAGATTGTTGATCAGAGCATTTGGTTTCAGGTACATCTTTGTTCTCCATAAGTTGCAAGTAGAATGTTTCCATCTTTGAGAACAACAGTTGCAGTTTTCACAATTTCCTTTTCTTGCTCTTTGATAGCAAACCTAAAAAACCTGGCATTACCTTCCTGAGATAATGCTACATGTACCATGTCATGTGGACACTGACCTATCATGTCATTGACCTCTGTAAGATACTCTTTCACAGAGCAATTGCCACCGTGCTTGGCAGCACCACCTCTGTGCTGAACATGATGCTACCACTTAAATTTTGAATAGCACGAACTGCTTCTTCGTTTGAAAGATTTTTCTCGATGCTTTTCAAACCAAAATATGGGGCTGGGTGAAAAACTTCTTGAGTTTCTTGCTGAGCTTTTTGGTAGGAGAGCAAGAGCTGCTGGACTCCTGCATCTCCCTTATATTCAGAATTAATTTTTTTCCATATAGCAGCTGTAACACTTATCTCTGTAGCAAGACCAAGTTGAGAGCATACTTCTCTGGAAATGGCAGCCTTTTTGGATCTTTCTTTTCCATGACTTTGAATATTAAGCTGCTCTAAGAACCTTTTATTCCACCTTTTGAACATAGCATGATATTCTGTGTAGGCAAATTCAAAATAATTTGCAAATACGCTCACACTTTTTGCTTCCATCTTTGCAGCAAATATACTGGCAGTTTTTGCCAACTCGGCCGAGTTCTTTATGCTTGCAGTGTTAAGGATTTGAATGACCCGATCATATTCATGTGATGACATCACAGCAAATAGTGGTTGACATATTTTGAAATAAATTTTCACCAATCAATTTGACGAAGTTTTCCACAGCCGTGCATCTCTGGAACTGAAATTTTAGCTGGAAATTGGATTTTCTTGTTGAAAAGTTCTTAGCCAACTCTCTATGGGCATCATTGCCTTTGTATAGTATGGAAAACAGCAACTTCCAATGGTCAGGATTTTCGCTACGAGAGCAAAAGGGCAAAGTAGTCGTTCAAGACAAATGAGAAGCTGGCCATCAATTAAGAACAAGCCATTTTTTGTCAAGACAAATTTGTTGAATCGGAATGAATTGCTGGAATAGAAGCTATGGAAAGAAATGAAAAAGCGTCTGTTATCTTCACACTCTCCAATCACACCCAGACCTGCTTCCAATATCCAGTCATCATTTGTGTCTTCCTGAATTTTCTGGAAAGTCTTATATACACTAGCATCAAGGATGTAGCACATCCCTTCCACTAGGGGAAATGGTGACTGTTCTTGGAGAAATGGACAAAATTTGCACAATTTATTGAAAGCAAAGATCCAGACAGCCATCATTATCATGAGTAATGACTGGGACAAAGTCACTTCACCCATGTTAGCAACAACAGTGATCAAAACTAGGATCCCTATCAATATTGCCATTTCACACATTTACTGTCCTTGAACTTCAGGTTTCAAAAGAAACAGCTTTGCAACCTATATGAAAAATTCACATCCACTATCAGATTACTTATCTTTATTTGCCACTATACAAAACCGAAGAATAGGGTCCCACACAGCACAGTGATATCCCAGGGATGTTCCTAACTGGACAACATGTCCCCTGGTCTTTGTAGGATGTCCTGAAGACATCTTGTAAGGGATGTCTTTGGGATATCTGAGAGATGTCTTTTAGACATCTCTCAGATATCTTCAGTCGATATCTCAGAGATATCCCTTTCAGGATATCTTTAAGACATCCTTAGTTGAATGCTTTTTGATATCTTGAGGATGTCTTAGGGACATCTTATGGATGTCTTTAGGCATCTTCAATGCTCTTTCTTGCCTTCAGTCAGGTGCACAGCTTCGACGGTAGATGTCTCCTGTGAGCCCTGATCTGCAACTTCAGATCTTTTCTATCAGATTCTTCTACTTGGTTTGTTCTGAGGATAAGTAAGGATTTTTGTTCCATACATCAGGGAAAGTGAAAAAATTGCAGTCCAAATTTTAATTTATTCCACTATATTCTATTTAATGATGAGTGATTGGCATGTCTGGATACAACTATCTTGGTTGGAGGCCTGAGCCCATACTTTTCAAAAGGCATAAGGCTAAATCATCTCATCCATGACCCCTTCTGTAAAGGTGCTAAATTTTGTCCCTTAGAGATGTGTCTCCTATGATGGGGCTCCCTTTAGGAACAGGATTTTCCTTCCTCCGTAATCGTTGCTCTTCAGTCAGTCAAGAACTTAAGGTTAGGTGTTCCTGTTGTCCAAATAGAGACATCTTCGAAAGTAATGGGTTCTCCTGTGCAATAGAAAATAAGTCCATTGCATATAGGAAGGCACCTGCAAGTACTACCTGGGTCTTCTCACTTGTCCTTAGGTGATATCTCTGGGACATCTCTGGAATGTGATAGTTCTTCAAGAAAATGACATCCTTTGGATGTCATTGGACCCAGTCATTTTGATATCCCTAAGATGTCCCTACTTGTCTCTGGGACATTGCACTTGTCCCAAGGGGATATCTCTGGGATATCTTTGGGATATACCTGTGCTGTGTGGGTTACTAAGCTAAGCTTCATTAGGGAAGACTGGTTTTTCCTATAAACATTGCAATTGAAGCACACATTATGCTAAAAATGTCCACAGTGTAGCAAACACTACCTGCAACAAGAAGTGTGTTCCAGAAATCAGTTTCATGAAAGCATCTCTAAAATGAGGTACATGTTTTTCCATGCATGGTGTTATAGTTAGGAGCTTAAGAATGTCTTTATGGATGTTCTTCAAGATTGACATGCTGATGATCCTATCCTCACAGCTAATTAGAAAGCTTTGCCTAACTGCATGAATTTATGCCTCAAATCTTTATTCTGCTAACATCATTGAAAAGCTGGATTAATTTTCTATAGGGAGGTGCTATTGCAATTTTAGTAAACTCTTGGGGACCTGTGCTGTGGAGTGATAAAGATAACCAAAGTTTATTTTGACCCACTCTGTATCTTGTTTATATTTTCAAACCCATGTTGCATAGGGTCCATCTATGAGAACAAGTTTTTAACCCTCTTGGTGTAACACAGCTGATTTCTTAGCCTCATGTACTACTGCTAAAAATGCCATAGGCTGATCTATCAGCCATGGCTTTTCCTTATGTTTTATCCTCCTCATAGTTGGGGGTACTTGTTAAATAACAGCAGCCTTTTTAGATATGACTGAAAAGGCGTTGTGAATGAAAAGCAAGTATTTCACACAAATATAATGGCATTTGAACTTTAAATACATTTTGTTACTTAATTGTGCTTTAAAAGGTGAATTAAATTTGTTTTAAGTATTTTTTAAGAATAAAAAATGGATTTTTAAAATAGAAATTAACAATAATCAATAATGCTCAGAATATCAGTTTGTAAATTTAAAAAAAAATCACATCTTTGTTGCATACTTTAGGATTTTTTTCTGAGGCACTGCATTCAAGGATAGTGCCCCAAAGGGACGTGTTTTTCCGCCGACCTGTCCCTCTATGCCGAAATTCGACTTCGGCATTCCCGGAATCATCTAGAGTGGAGAGATATTTCTCTTCGTCACAGTCGGCATTCGACTAGTGTAAAATCGTCATACACGGAAGACTGAAAGTTCGGCATTCCAGGAGCTTCCCCCACGGTCCCCCCCCCCCCCCCCCCCCCCCCCCCCCCCCCCCCCNGATCAGCTGTCACTCAGAAGAATGACTGCCATCTCTTTTTTTTGCAAATGTTTTTGCTTTTTAAATCTGCATGAATGTTGCTAATGATTCCCAAGTGTGACATTGTGTCATGATCATTTCCAAATTACTCCTCCATTGCAGCAAATAAAGATGGAAGATAAAGATGAAGAATTAAAAAAAATTAATTCAGCATCTCCTTTCCTAAGATATACCTCCCATCCCATCCCCATCCCCATCCCCATCCAGACTGCACGAACCAGGAAGCAACCAGGCGATAACGCCACGAACCGCGATAAAGCAACCCCCCCCCCGTCGCCGGAGCATCATCCGAAGAGCCAGGACGTGCACCTTCCCGCCGGATGCGAGTAGGAAGCAGTGAAAAGAGTCGAATTCGACCTCGTTCTTCGCGATCGACTCCCTCCACCTTTTTCTGGTTGCAAGATAAAAGTGATTTGCGTGTGAGTTCGTGTCATTTGACTGTTCCGTGTTACTTCTAAGGTACATCCAAGCGGGCGGGATTCTCAGCTCATCCCATGTGCTTGCGTATACATAGCTTATCCAGAAATTAAACAGATGGTGCTAGTGCATATGCATAAACGCCCTACCTTTGGCCGTACGTACAATATCCTACCGCGGTCTGTTAAAAAGAAACGCGGGAGAATATCATGGCAGCTTGCTCCCATCATGCTCCTTGAATTCGATGCACCCAGTTTTCTTTCATCCCGCAATTATTCCTCGCATAGATTAGTGGAAGGTTCTGGTGCAAAAATTATATAAGGAGCTATAAGGCACTAAAAAAAAAAACCGAAACGTTTTAATTCATTTAATTTAAAGATCAGTGCAGTGTACCTCCAATTATCAGATAAAAAAAAAAAGAAGCGAAAGAGAATAGTTTGCCTTAGTTAACTGATTCTGGGGCAGCCCTAGAGAACTCATGGCGGCTGTCAAGATAGTTGCGGGAAAATATGAATCCTGATGGGTAATGACAGCGATTTTCGATTGATTGGATCTCCCGCTGCTGTGGCGGAAGCAGGAGTGACTCAATTCCCACTTCAATCAGTGATTTAGTCAGGGGCACTTATTTCGAGACATATTTCTTTCAGTTGGATGACATGCGCTATGAGAAAGAAGGGGGATGCAATCAGTCGAAAATAACTGCAGTCTCTGGTAGAGCAGTAAGTATTAGGCCTCGCCTAACGGTAGGGTAGGCTAGAAACTTGAGTTCGTTGATGCAGATCTGCTCGAGGGCCTGCGTGGTGTCCATTGGTTTCTAATATTCGTATATCCAAGCCTAAGAATGTGATGGTGACTAGGCCTACTCAAACGAAACGACTCAAACTTCTCTCACTATCAACCTTTGATGGGTTTTTAATGAGTTCCGCGCAATATTGATTGAAATTAATGATTTTCCCATGCTGGCATCTCAGTAAACAAGTCTGGAACTAGTTTTGGCCAGTTTATATATATGAAAAAAAAAACTTTAACTAGACATCATCCTGTTGCTGCCTGTCTTTTTGGCCTCGATGAGAGAAATTGGCCTTTCTTGGAATGTACCTAAATAATTTAAAGGACCAATTAAGCTTGTACATAGGATGGCTCTTGCTGGCAGAGGTATGCTTAGGTTATTAATCTTGCTAGTGACCATGAAGTAAGGGAAAACTACAAAACTTGAATGCTTTGAGAATGTGCAACTTGATTCAATTGTCTGGGATTAAGGGATAGACTGCTGCTTGACATGTTCTTTGGTGAATAAACCCATCCTCCTGCAGTTTCCTTGTTATACCAAAGATGCTGTTATACTCAATTCCTATGAGATTTCAATCATGAGAAAATACTTGAAGGCTAAATCTGAGTACTTATGGATATTAGGTACAAAATAATAATGTTTCAGTTGTTGGGTGCCTTCAAGAAACTGGACTTCAAAGAGACTGTGTTGAGTGAATGAAGTTGTTCTTTGCTACTTGTGGGTTGCTGCATTTGAGTTTTGTGCTTGTGTCTGTGTTGGTATTTGTAAAGCCTAGCCTGTTGGCCATGAAATTAGTTGCAGTCACAAAGGGGGACTTCACTTGAGCTCTGTGAGTCCTTATGAATGAAAACCATAGCCAAGCCACTGATGGATTCATCCAGTAAGTATGTAAGGAGAGCAAAAAACAGCTGAATCATGTAGCTGTTTGGAGGGAAGGAAAAAGAGGTGTTCAATGTATTCAGGCATCATAACGTCCTGCTTCCACATTTTCTTTCCTCTCAATCTCACTCAACTCTCATGTTATTAATAAGACAAACTCCCCATTTAAGGTTTCCATACTCTTAAGAGTATTTTTATGTCATGGGCCTGTCCTTAAACTTTTTCAGTTGGGTTGATGCCAAGACTGAGAGCTAGTGGCCATGGATCTGAAGAATAGTCAAAGTTGCATATCTGAGTCATATGAACTCTTCAGCAGTGTCCCAGAAGTAGCCCGTGAACAACCATGTATTATGGGTATAGATGAAGCAGGAAGAGGACCTGTGCTGGGTAAGACCTTTCTCCTGCAAAGTAAAAAAAAGGGAACTTGATTGTGAATATGACTCAATGTAAGGAATATGGCTGATATAATTAAAGTCTGTGTGCTGTGACATTCTGATAAGTTGAAGATTTTTATGAATTCTATCTCTATAATTTAGATGTGGATATGATGGATTCCTCACCAATGACTCCATTTCAGACATTTTCATGCAGTTTGGAACTAACTAATCTCTGCTGAAAAGCATTTTATTCCCCATATGGAGGTTATAAACAGATAACTGTATAATGAAAAGCTTCCATTCACAGAATTTTACCCCCATTCCTTCAGTAATCATGAAGTTCATTAATTATTTTATAGGCAAAATCTTTTTTTTTCTCTGTCTGCTTCAATATGAACTAATTTTTCTCTGTTTTTGCCATTTGGGCAAAAGGGCATGTAACATGTTGAAGATATGTTGGTGTCTTATCTTGCAGGTCCTATGGTTTATGGTACCTGCTACTGTCCTGTTCTCTATGGTGAGGAACTAAAGGACTTGAAGTTTGCAGATTCAAAGACACTCACTGAAGCTCAACGACTGTCCTTTTTCCAGACCATAGACAACAATGAACATATGGGATGGGGTCTAGAAGTGATATCACCATCATTGATCAGTAACAGCATGTTTAAACGGTAAGTGAAGGTAATATTTATGATGGTAGGCCATGAAATATGTCCATCCAGCTATGTTGGCTTAGGCATAAATTATATTATACAAGGAACACTCAAAACATTATTATTGACATATTTTGTCAACATTCACTGTCAATGACAATGATATGCTCATATCTTCTTGAGGTTCATATGTCTTACCTGCACATAATGTTGAATCTTTTGAATAAATTCTGAACCATTTCTGGACATCTTCCTGAAGGAAGGTGCTTGCAAATATAATTCAAAACCTCTTGGACCTCTTCCAAATTGTCACCTCTCCTCCCTTTATATATTGGGAATAACCAAAAGTATAGGGGACAAGGTCTGGTCAATAAGTTGGATCAGGCAGTTTTTGCTGGATCCTGCTTCTCTTGAATGAATTCCATTGTCCTGGCAGTATATGAGTAGTATGTGCTGATGCATGGTCAGTGCAGATACCAGATACTTTGCTGTTGCTGATGGTTCAGGCTGAAGGATGCTTATTACCACCCCACCTCCTTTTTCTTCCTCCCTAAAGGCCCAACTACAGTATGACAAATCTACATAAGTCTGACCTTTGCCTTACCCTGCCTTTGAAAAAAAGTTAACTATAGCTTGCAAGATAATTCATGTGATTTTGCAATAGTTAGATCAGGTGGCCCAAAAAAAAGTTTCAAACTTTACCTTGCTAAGGATGGAACATGGCTTTGACTGCTAAGGATTAAGGGACTCCAATAATAGTATCTCAGTTAGTGTCCTAATAAATTGCAATGAAGGGCAAAAATGATATAGGTGACACTGAATCAGTTGATCTATTCTCTGGCATGGATGGATGGTACAGTCAGCTGCGTTATTTCCTAATTACATCAGTGAAAAGTTGGCAGGCGAGAACTTGGATGTCTCACTTTAAGTTGACAAGATCAACACTTGGAAGTCTTTCATCTGAACTCTTCCATAACAGTCTTTTCTGCAAATAATAAAATATTCAGGGAACTATGATTCTGTAAGCAGATACTGCAAGTGCTAATTCAGATTCATCAAGTCAGGAGGCCCATCTGGCAGTCATTTCATTTTATGCAGGCTGGGGCTTTTTCTGGCTTTAAGGGAAGTAGTGACCTTGTGATCTGACCAGAATTGACCTCCATGTGGACCTTCAGACTTGACATATCTGGATGCAGCATCTTTGTTAATGATGCCAGCTACAAAAAAAATAAACATGATAATAAATGAAATTATTACAAAATAAAGTTTTTCATTTGATAAGCTGGATCTCCAGTATTTCATTATTTACCCGAAGGCTTGGCATTAGTTTCAGTTCAATCTTACCTGATGTGTTTCAAAGGAAGAAACCTATGAAATCCACAAGTGTTTCACTGGAACTGTAGTGGTAAAAGTATAGCAGTTTGCCCATTAGTTTCAGAAGAATTATTCCCAGCCTTAAGCCTTTTCCCATTTAAATCTGGTTATACTTGGACAGGAATGACATGGAAAACTGCTTCTTTATGTGTGTAGGGGCTTCTATGATCTGCTGGATTATATCCTCTGTGCAGTAAGGTAACAGATTAAATTGAACTAGATGGGATGGAATGGATGGATTTAGAGGGTGGGAAGCTAAGTGGCTAAGTGGTTAAGAGGCTATCTGATACATCTATAGGAAGAACTCTTGTTTTCCTGTTGATATTGCAGGGATTGCATATGTACTCTCTTTCAGAGCCAAGTATAATTTGAACATGCTGTCACATGATACTGCCAAGAAGCTGATCGAGAAAGTGTTAGCCCGTGGTGTCAAATTGGAAAAGGTCTTCCTTGATACAGTTGGGCCTCCAGAAAAATATCAGGTGCATTGCTGTTCACTTTGCTCAATTTTCTTACATCCAGGGATTATATATATCTCATTTTGATAATTCTAAAGGTATTTTTTCATGTGAGACAATCATGCAAATACCCTCAATTTTGCCCCAGTCCAGGACATGCCTGGAAAGTCTTACTGAAACCCCTTTGCTACAACCAAGGCTAATAGATATAGGCATATTCTATAGCAATTCTGTGACAGAGCGTGTGTGGCATGATAGAGATTAAAATTGTTCTATAATTAGTCATTAGAGTTTATTAAGGTCAGATTTTTCCCCCCTTTTTTTCTTGCTTGATTCCAATAATATGGTTTGCTGAATGTCTTAATTGCAACAAAATGGGATAGAAAGTTGCCTGGAGATGTCATTGCCACCATAGGGGTCAACATTGCAATCTTGTGTGGTTTGCATTGTCCATGGAAGCTGTTTGTCTCTTAACTCTTGAATATTCCCTGGAGCAGGGGTGCCCAAAATGTGGCCCACAGGCCGCACACAAAGTGCCTTAGAGAACATCCACTTTGGGCATGCCTGCCCTAGAGCATACTATGTTCTGGAAGCATCCCTTGAACAACACTTATCCCTCAGTTTGAATCATAATAAATCTAATCTGGGGGTCATACTTGCAGTGGTTTCTGAAGTGGCCATCCATCAATTTCCCTGTGAGTTATGGTGGAAATATGGGCAAGTGGGGTTGGCACTATGTCGGTTATAAAGTCTGACAGCCTAAATATGTTAGCACATGGTCTGGTGGGGGGGGGGGGGGGGGGGGGGGGGGGGGGGTTGCAATGTTGACCCCTATGGTGGCAATGACATCTCCAGGCAACTTTCTATCCCATTTTGTTGCAATTAAGACATTCAGCAAACCATATTATTGGAATCAAGCAAGAAAAAAAGGGGGGGGTGATGGAAGCAAGAGTTGAAGAGTTGGAGCAGACCTGGGTGCCATATGTTGCTCACATTTCTCACTAAATCACTCATCATTTTTACTTTAGGGCAGGTGGTAAATTTTTCTAACAATGGTTAGTACCATTGATGCTGGCTGATTGCTTGAGTCCACTGAAATGGCCTCTGTTGCCTCCAGGAAAGTCCATTCATACATTTAAAAATCCAGCTGGCAGTTTTTGTTATAGATTGATTGGGCTGTGTATTGCAGATAATAAATGATTTTTAGTACTCTAGACACCAGATCAGTATTTCAGATCTGCAAAAGGCCCAGTCACCCTGAGGCTAGGTCTCAAACTATCAACCTGCAGACCAGATCCAGTCCCCCGTACATTTTATCCAGCTGATGAAGTCCTATTCAATAGATGGTTACAGAGTAGTTCCATGAATTTATACCTGTTCACAATTTAAATTTGGTGTAAGATTTATTAGTGTGGTCCCCAGCCATCCCTGAACAGTTCCATCTGGCCTCTAGCCTAATCAGGTTTAACACCCCTGCCCCACTGCATGCTCATCAACACCTCAGTTCTCAAAATCTCATATATACAGGGTATGGAAAAAAAAGACCAATGACTTTCAATTAATATGTCTAATCCTGATTAAGCTTTAATCCTGCTGAATTATTGCTAATTGACTTGCTTTAGTGATATTGATTTAGATCAAATTTTCAAAAGTCTATTAGGAACATATCAGTACAATGTAAGTTTCATGAAAACATCTCCAGTGAGAGTGGAGATATACAAGTTGAAAGTCATTAATCCTTTTTTTTTTCAATACTCTGTTTTGCTATAGTTTGTGTCAGAGTGTCTTGAAAAATACAAATTGAACTCGTATCAGATTTTCTGAAAATGTCCTGCCTTAGGGAAGCCCTCCATTGCCTTCATTGTCAAAATCTAACCAGAGGTTTTTTCCTCCTACCTAGAAAAGCTATGTCCTGAATATTTGTTTCTCAACACTTACAGTATTAAATGAATACTAGAGACCCTGCTGAGGCTTCATTGGGATGAGCCCATTTTGTACCTTATTTTCAGGCCAAATTGTCTGCATTCTTTCCAAATCTGGAAATCACTGTGTCAAAGAAGGCTGATTCATTGTTTCCTATTGTGAGTGCTGCAAGTATTTGTGCAAAAGTTGCACGTGATCAAGCTCTTAAAGAATGGGTGCTTGAAGAGGCTGAGTCTGAGGCCAATGATGAAGGCTGGGGAAGTGGATATCCTGGAGGTGAGACTGATGAATTGTTGACATCACAACATTTTTATTATTTATCATCCTGAAGGAATCATTGACTTCCTGTGTATGCAGATCCTGCCACGAAGAAGTTCTTGAAAGAACATATTGATCCAGTTTTTGGGTTTCCTGACCTGGTTCGCTTCAGCTGGTCCACAGCCAAAGAACTCATGGAGAAGCACTGTGTAAAAGTTTTGTGGTGAGTTGAACTTCATGTCCTGTTCAAAATGAATTCATATGAGTTACTCTCATCAAGAAGGAAGACCATATTGGAAGATACTAAGATTCTCAGCATTTGAAAAAAATAGTTAAGTATATATTCTCGTATTGTATACCACATGAAAGAAGCATATTATTTCTTTTCCCAGGGATGATGAAGATCTGGAAGAAGCATCTCCTCGGAAAAGACAAAGGAGCATTGCAAGTTTTTTTGGAGGACATGATGTGCAGGAATCCAGGCAAAGAAGCATGTTTTTCAAAGAAAGGTGCTTGAGGCCACTCTCATCATGGGAAGCAAAGTGATTTATGGAGTGTACCAGAGTGACTTGTAGTCATTAAAAGGGAATCTCAATGTGAAATCTGTGTAAAAGTTGCCATGCTATTTCATGTGTATCCATCAGAGGTTACCAACCATTGGCCCTTGGGAGACTGTATTATGTTACCTCCAAATTCAGATGGTTATTATTTTTATTTTACTAGCTAACTTTTAATTAGTAAGGAATGTACAGGGTATTTCAAAAGTCCAGACTCAGGCAGATTTCCTAATTTACCTTTATTTCATCAAATGTTCAAATTGCATGCCATGAACTTGCATACACATATCAATCCGAGCGAGCACATAACCCCCTCTGAATATTTCTTAGTACTTCTGTACTAATTTTGGTGCACTCATTCATTGAGAAATTTAATTGATTAAAAATACCCATGAGTATGAACTTTTGAAACACCCTGTACATTAATTCAAGCAACATCAAACTTGTAGTGTGTTAACCCTTCAAGCATGACTTTCCTGGAAGGCAGCAGCACCTTCATTGTGAGACTGGCATATGACACTGCACATTCTTGAGGGTTAAACATCATGAAGAACATCAATGGAATCACTAGCCATGCAATCAGCTTGAAAGGGATGCTTGATGCTGAAGTGCACTTTTGCATTTAAAGATGCCCAAAAGATTCCATATTTACTTGTGCCATTCACTTGAAATATATGCTTTGTGGCCACTTACTCCTCAGGCATTTTTGGTGCTCACCAAGCTGGCACAAGGAACTGGTTTTGGAATAAGTGCCTCTTCAACCCTGAAGATGTATTTTACAGTATGGCAGTACATCATGCATTGACTCTCCCCCAGCCCTATGATGCATTACCTCTTCCCAAGAAGTGTAATTAGTGAAAGTGCAATAGGGGAAGTACTTGGTGTTTATAAAAGCTAGCAGTGTAAGACTCCAGTGTCTTTTACAGCGAAATCAGTATTAAATTTAAAACAATGGGACCTTGGAAAATTCTGAGTTACTAAGGATTTCATGTCATCCAGGTTCAGTTTCAGAGATCGGTTTTTGCTGGTTAATATTATCCTGAACTATGCTGAGAATTTATTTATGCAGTTAAAAAGACTAAATTCCCTTTTCCTAAACAATTATACGAAAAGTGATTGGTACCACAACCAGCTGTGTAGTACAGCAGTGCATGCTTTGGCAGGAAACCTGAATCTCTTATGTATTCAAGAGCATCTTTGTATCTTTCATGTGGCAACTTGTGTGCTGCTGTGACTGAAATTTGTCTTATTTTGTATCTTCCTGCAGATTTTGTCCATTTTAAAATTCAGTTTCATGCAAAAGAGAGCTTAGTCTTTCATCTTTTCCAATGCTAAAAGAGTTTTTGTGTTCAGCTTGATTTAGTGGAAGAAAAATCCATTTGTGAGCATTTTTTTTTGACACCCTGTGCTTTGCTTGTTTGCAAGAGCTGAATCGGTCCAACAGTTTACCAGTTGTGGGCTTTATGCAGGCTTCCTTGGACTTGAGTTAATAAAGTTTTTCTTTGTGATTTTCATTAAAGAAATGAATTGTAATTTGCTGATGAGGTTAATGTATTCCCATATGGTTATTAACATGTGATGCTAGTGAGCTGCTGAGAGGAGGTGAAAGGAAAGACTGGGCCAGTCCTCACCAGAATAATGACACTCATCCATCTTATCTGAATCAGAGTATGCCAAACAACAACATAGTAACCCTTTAAATCCCACACCCAAGTATTCTTGTGATGGCTCTGTGGGCAGCTTAGGATACTCAAGCATTAATTGGTTAATGTTGAGCAAACAATTGGGATGATGTTAGCATGCTATACCAGTTGCAAACAGGAACATTGAGAGGGATGCTATAACTTATGAATGACAAGCTAAAGCAAGAATAAGTGCAAAAAAAGTCCAAGTCAATATTGATTTCATGGTAAGACTTGTTGATGTTTGCATATTTTCTGTTTTCATTAATTTTCCTGCATCATGAGATGTTACCAGCAAAGAGTGATTCTGGATGCTAACTGACTCAGAAGACAAAGGGAGTCCTCACTGTGGGCTTTTGTCCTTCACCTTAGGGTTACAGTGGTCATTTTTATCATTCCTCATGTCAACATTTCCCTAAACTTATATTTGCTGGGAAAGCCAGTTTCAGAATCTTGTGAGAAATGGAACAGACCTGGATGTTGACGAAACCTCATTGCTGCATCATTTTTCGATGCAACAAGGAAGAGGGAGTCAGTTCATTGCTCTCCTTTCAGCACTAAAGATTTTTCAAGTTTTCTGCATTGAGTTTCCAAGATATGAGACAGCCTTAGTCCCTGCTTGAGTATCATATTTGACAAGTGCCCTCAGAGGCCATTAAACACAGCATTAAATAGAGGTAAAAAATGTAGCTATACAGTCAAATCATTTACTTTTAGGGTAGCAGGAAATTTTTCCCTACTCCCTTCACCTGATAATAAATACAGGGTGGACCACTTAAAAGTAGCCTGCCTCTGGTCCGAGCGTGGCGGTGGTTGAAGGTGGTGAAAAACAATCCACTTGCTCGTTCTTACTGTCGCAGTATTATAGGAGGCGGGCTACTTTTAAGTGGCCCACCCTGTACTATATGAAAAAGAGAGCTGCTTACAAGCAGAAAGTGTGTTTTATTCTCATACTTACCATGCCATAAATAATCTGTATCTAGCCCAATACAAAGAAAAGAGCTCATGTCTTGTCCTTTCCACAGTGAAGAAATCCTCAAATGAAATTTCCCAAGAAGTACATTTCTCAGATCAGATTTATCCTCAGATTCTCCATGTTAGTAATTTCCCTGAATGAATTCCTGATGAACATATCCCCATGTGGATACTTCCCTGCCAAAGACTCCCCTGAAAAGATGGAAACCTGGAATAGACAAATAAACCATGAATAATCAATATTCTTCATTCTTCAAAAATAGTAGCACAGAAGAAAGAGTCTCATCTAAACCAGCCCTTTAGCCTTCATCTCCAACTCCTTCCCCCCCTTGTGCATGATATTTCCCATCCATCCTCAGTAATGTACATCATAAGATGATGAAATTGAGATCTTTCTCTTCCTGTACTTGTAACACTGGATCAAGATCTTGATTTTTAAGTCAAAGTCTCTCTCTGCTTTTCCATACTCTTGTGAATCTGAAAAGATTGAGATGGTTTTACCTTCAGGCCCAATCATTCCTCCTCTCCTCTGAAGGGAGAAAGGAACTGCATCGTGCTAAACAAATTCTTTAGGAAAGCGGAGACAAATTGCTTGCTAAAGATCTATATCTATGCTTTAAATTCTGACAGGAAGTTATCCATTAATACTGTATATCAGAAACAATCATGGGCATTCCTGTGATTGAGAAGCATTACTTTTTCCACTTAGAAAGATTTGTTTCATGCTAGTAATATTTTATTGAGACCATCAATAAATTGCAGTGGATCAATGTTCCATGTTTTTGGATGATTCTGTGAAATTCCAAATTATATCTTTTCTTTCTCATGGTACTCTATGAATGCAGTCTTTGCTAACCATCCCCAGGATGCATATCAATTAGATGATGTTCACTCACTCTGTGATGTGTCCTAGATATGATGAACCAGACAGGATCATTTTGGCTCTTGACCCTACTGTCAGTGTTGCTTGCACTGTGCAGTGCCTCCAAGAAGCCAAATTTCATTCTCCTCTACATGGATGATGTAAGTTGAGTAATGTATATGATCAGAAGTGTGTTGAAAGCATACAATGTACTGCCTCCATTTCATTCTATTAATATACAGGTATAATGTGTTAGTTGCTATATCCTTTGCTGGGCGTTTTTTAGATGACACTGAAACCTGAAATTGTCATGAGCATGTTACTGTACATCTGGATCAAATTATGAGTCTGATCTTGCATTCTGAAGTTGAAATAAAAGGCTAATAGCATAACTGCATTGTCTCATTTAAGAAAAAGTAAGTCTGTTTGTTTTTTTAGAATATGTCCATCTAATATTGTGCAAGTCTCATGTTTTTCCACATGAGGTCTCTGATAAATCAGAAAAATCCCTGACAAGTTAGAAAAAAAAGGAACTCATTGCTACAAATGCACTAACTTTGCAAAGTTGAAGCATTGAAAACTGCCTTGAATAAGCAATCTGTCTGTTGCTACTCACCTAGTACATCATTTTGGTAGGCTCAAAAATGGCTAAGCAAGGACAAGTGACAGTCTCAATGACAAAGTTGTTTTTGATTAAGCTCTCTTAACATACTACTTTTATTTTCATTCATTAATTAATCTTATGTTTTCTTATGTGTGCTCTGCTTTTATCAAATTAAAGGGTGCCAATTCATTTGACTGGATGCTTTTCCTCTTTACTGAATGTCATGTTATTTGAAAAAACTCATGGTGTTTTGAATTTATAGAGCACATGAAATACAAGGTAACTGTTTTTTAATTTGCAGAAATCTTCATTACTCATCTATGGTGTCATGTGCAGAAAAATGTTGCATTGGAGCCTAATTGGCTCCAATGCAACTTCTTTGGCCAGAAACCTTATTGGTTATGCTTGAGCTACCATGTCAAGGTCAAATATACAAAAATACCAACATCCTGATCTTTTTGACTCATGAAGTCTTCACATTTTAACCATAAGCATTGTGTTTCTAAATATGTGAGTAGTATTTAGCATAAACTGTATTTATTTACTTTAATAGATTAACAACATATAAAATATATATATAAAAACATGCATGGTTCAAAGATGAATAGTTTCTGTGTGGCTGCCATCATTCTCACCACTATTGCATCTGTAGCCTTGACTCTCATAAAAATAAAAGTTGAGTGCACAGGACATAATTCAACAAGCATGGCATTGAGCACAACAGAGTGAGCATCATGGATACGCATACTATCTATTGGGAATAGTCTGAAATAGCATATTTGAAAACATAAATGTTTGCTAGCTACTTTGCAATAAAGCTGACCTGATTGAACATGTGTACAGGGCAGTCCGAAAGTCACAGTTCAGACATGAATGCTAGAGGAAGATTTAGCTATTCATGGTGAGAGGCAGGACAATCTGTTTCATGGAAATCGAGTAAGGTTCAAGAACTGAAAATCAAGAGATATTTCAAGTGACTGAGGCCCTTCAGTGTTTTGGATGTGAAACATGCATCAAATGCTTTCAGGTGTTTAGGCCAGGAAAGGGTTAAGCTGTCAAGTTTTGTGTTCCACATCTTTCCCATGCATAGATTCTTGACTATGCAATTCTCTGTTCCTGCCACATTGTTGTAATGCTGAAATCCTGTTCTGTCACACATTTAGTAATGTTATGCAAGACATTGACTGCAATCAGGTCATGCTATTTCATTTTTATTCCAAGTATTGGGCATAATGTCCATCCAAACCCCTGTACTTGTTATTGAATAATCAAAGCAATAAATTGAAAATAAATGAAGTTATACATTTAATTAATGAATTCCCTCCCTCAGGAATCAGGAGTGGCATTTGAAAGTGTGTATATAGGATCATGGAGACTTGTCATGGAGATCAGAGCAGATTTTTGTTTGTGGATAGCTTTGGAGCCAGTAAAGGTTACTAAGAAAGAGAAAGCTGCATTGGATTACCTAGCAATATGAGAACTGGAGAAATCAACCAACTGTGAACAGCTCTAATGAGATTTTCTTTTTATTTAAATTAAGAACCTCTTTTTTTATAGAAGAAAATGAGAAATTGCAAAGAAGAGTTGAATTCCTCTGCAAAACATTCACCATTTACTTGAAATCTTCCAGCGAGTTCAAACACATGCATCCAAATTTTTGAAACACTGAAACTATGATTACCAGAAGCAAAATTGTTCTCAAAAATTTCTCAAGAGAGAGCCAATATTCATGGTTTCTTCCAGATGGGCTGGGGTGATATTGATGTCAATGGGGAACCTCATAGAGAGACACCAGAACTTCGCCGCATGGCAGAGGAAGGGTGTATCCTCACTGATTTCTATACAGCTGCTCCTCTTTGCAGCCCTTGTGAGCCAATTTTCTCCTTTACAGGGAACTTAAATGATAGTAACATAATATAACAGATTGAATCCAAGCCTAAGAGTGAAAATTTCTGCTGTTAACAAGTTGTTATTGTTGCTAACAAGTCTGATGCATAGGGAAATGACAGTCACCAAAATGTCAAAGACCCCTTGTACAAGACAGAGTAAGAGTCATGTGAGGTCACCAAAACTAAGAGAAGGAAGGTGCTTGGAATTGATTTGAATGCAATCTCTGGGAGTAAATTCATTCAGTATCCCTGCTCATTCATGCCCGACAGACAGAGTTTTAACCAGTCTCAAGAGAGTATATTGACTTTATATTAGATTAATGTGTGTTTATGAGCCTATATGACTGTTCCATCTTGCCTGTATAATATAATCTCTGCCACCTGCCAGATTATCCATCAATGCTTTTCTTTATCCTTTGGCAATCTCTTCCTTGCCTTTTTATGGTCTACTCTCTCTCCCACCTCTCCCATTCAGTCTCATTCCATGCCTCTTTTGGAAGGTTTGTGGAATCATTCTATAGAATAGAAATTGGAATATGGCTGGCAGATAGCAGGAGGCTTTCCAAGAAGTCTTCTCATGCCCAAGGGCATTTGACAATTTGACAGAACAAACAGCAAAGATATACCATCATAGTCTGCAATCAGGTCATTTGACACTGCAAGAATGGGCATTGGAATGGAATGGATTTGCATTGAAATACCATGTCCACCTTCAAGACACATGTACATAGCATCCTCAAGAAGTCATCTAGAAGAGAAAGGATATTGATCCCCTGTTTCCAACTGAGAGTGGCAGATGACAGAGATTGGGTAAGGGTGGCATTGTTCAAAGGGTGAAGATGAAAGTTGGTCAATGATCTGGCTGTGGATGAGAGAACTAGAGGCAGCATGGATTGGTGATACAGAAGTATACATCAACCCAATAACCATTGCAAGTAGTTGGAGGCATGAGAATAATCTGATGGTGTAATGATCTTTTCCATTGCATGCACCAAAAGTTCAATGTTGAACCATTTACCTTCTGCCTCCCAAGAGAAAAATGTGCGAGATATTAGAAGAAGCTACACTTACATTAGAAACAGAATGTTTATGCGTCAAATTTGAGATTTCACTTGCGTTTCTGTTCTCAATATCACACCTTTGTGCATCTTGAATCTTAGACAACCCATATCTGCATTGAACATTGCATTCTGCATTCTGCATTAGCTGCATTCTGTCTTTAACCTAATTGTTTCCTGCTTCTTGCAATTTTTTTTCTTTTAGCAAGAGCAGCTGTCTTGACTGGACGTCTTCCTGTTCGGACTGGTTTTTATTCTACAAATGCAAGGGGCAGGAATGGTATGAAAGCATTCCTCACATGATACCCCTTTGAGCCACATCCAATAGAGTTCAGGTTTCTATTGTTTCCTTATTGTGTAGCCTATACACCACAAGAGATCATGGGAGGCATTTATGATGAGGAAGTGCTCATCTCAGAACTCCTGTCACAAGCAAATTATACTACCAAGATTGTTGGCAAATGGTAAGCAAAGGGCCCATTTACTATCAAGTGTCTCCTCATCCCATGCTGGAGGAAGTGCATTTTTCCATAGCTCTCATGGTTTTTAGAACATTAAAACCTGTGTTGGAGTCTCTGAACCTTTTGTCCTGGTCTGCAGGAATTGCTTCCCAGTAAAATGATAACTATGAATATTGGTATGAGGCATCAATGGGTGTAAAATATGAGCATATAAGTAAAAGTGTCAGATGGAAAGTGCAAGAAATCAAGGGGTTGAAGCCTATGAGGAGCATAATATACATGCATAAAATAGTTAATAACATGAGTACAAAGATTATCTCTACCACAACTCAGTGATGGCATACTTCAGTGATGTAACTGATATCTACACAAATCCTAACATAATTCACCTGAAACAAAAAAAAAGAAAGGGGGAGGGGGGTCAAAGGACTTATGGAACATCCTGTATGTTATGCTATATTTCAAGTTTAAGTTGAATACAAACTCAAAAATTGAGTATAAACCTGGAAAAAGTAACACATTTTTAGACACAAACACTAATTACTGCTCAAAAAATCCTCAATATGGGGTGGACTTCTACCTAATAAATTCCCACTTGAGAGGTTATTATGCAATGAAAGGTCTATGGCAATATGCAATCTATAACCTATCTAGTGGTATACTTACATCTCTCAAGCAACAGGATGCCAGAAACATACTCTCAAATAGCTTGACTTGTTTTGAGGAACCCTGCATGTTTTCTAGGCATTTAGGACATAGACCTCCATATTTGCCTCTGCGCCATGGGTTCAAGGAGTGGTTTGGCTCACCCAACTGTCACTTTGGACCATACAGCAACTCTGTGGAAGATAGGCCCAACATTCCAGTTTATCATGACAGCATCATGGTAGGCCGGTAAGTCCATTCAGTCTGAATTCATTGTGGGAGAAGCTTGTTTTAGGCCATTTTCAACTTGTCATGTTCCCTACCCAGACCCAAAGTAGAGTCATTGTCTGTGTGAATACATGCAAGCATGTTTCAGGCCCTACACCCAAAGTTGGTGCCAATAGTGAAAAGTTAAAGTTTCCATTAGTAATGCTGAAAGTTAAGCCTTTTCTCTGGTTTCAGTGGTTCCTCTCAGGAGCAGACATGGCTTTACCAAGGTAATTGAGATGACTTGGGAGAGGCTTATGGACAACTAAAAGTCAGTCCATTTTGAAAATCTAAAAAATTTGTTTCTTGCCCATGCTGCATCTTGGTAAGGGAAGATGGGAAGGAGTATATTGTTTCCTGACAAGAGGAAGGAGTGATGCATTAGCAACCAATAGCATAATCTTGAGGCAGAGCACCCATCTGCCATGTAAGAGGCAGATGGGTGGGTTTATAACCTGGCCCACCCACCTGTCATCTCACACAACCAGCTAGGATTGAACAATGCCCTACTTGCCAGGCACTCAGCAATGTTAGGTATTAAATGTGAAAAGTAATAGAGGGATTTGCCTTTGAGGTTAATTCTCCTATTGACACATAAGAAAAGGGATCATAAAAAATTGTTAGGCTCCTGGCCCAGCCAATGAGTCACCTCTCAAATTTATTGAAATTATCATGGTAAAAATGTGCAAGCATCCTGTCAAGCACTGCCATGCAGCATGTGACATTTCTTTGTCCCTGAAGGAGAGTTTTTTTCTCAGTTTGTTCCCTTTTCTGGAACATCCTTCCATCCATCAATTTATCATCCTTCTGTCCATCTTAATGAGTGCAACATACCTCCCATCCCTACTTCCCAATTCCATATTGGCTTAGATGAAACATAAGACAGAAAATGGGGGAAATTCCTCTGTATATTCATGAGCTCAGTTTATCAGTTTGAGGATTTCCTGTCTCCTTTTGAAATACCGAAAGTTGTAGCTTTGGAGTGAATGTAAGTACAAACAGGAACACTAGATGAGATCCTGTTTGAAAAATATTGCAACCTCAAAAACATGACAAAAGTTGGTCACAGCAACAAAACCTTTTTCTTCCCCGTTCATTGTCAAGGTGAAGCAGTAACAAATGTGCTACACTTGTTCCTGTACTTGCATGCTTGCATGTCTTTCAACTGTGTTATCATAGAAGTGATACAGTATTTGGCATGGTATTGAGAACTCCATGAGGAGTTCCCAGAGAACACATGAGAGGTGATTAGATATGGTATGGCTTAGATATGACTCTTTGTAGCAGCTTTCCCATCCTTGTTGGAGACTCCCATTATGGGAATGCATTGATTAGCATTAACATGTACCATATGTACGCCATAGTCTGGTTGAAGCAATGGCTCTTTTAAGCTTCTTTTTTTTAACTCAATGGGGTGCTGGGGTGTCATTCCATCATATAAACTTGTTTTTCAGTGCAATAAATATTGATTCATCAGTGATGAAGCCATCCACTATAGCTATAGTAACTCTTGATTGGTCTTAAATGAATCTGATTTTATATTTTTGGGGGGGATTTTTTGCAAACTCAATATCGTGTATTCTCTTGTTAGCTAATGCAATCCATTCTATAGGTATTATCAGGACTTCAAAATCAACATCTCAACTGGTATCTCTCGCATGACTGAATTATACACAAAGGTGAGTTCCTTTTCATCTTGTCAATGGCAATTATAACAAGACTTATTACAATACTAATTTGATTGGTATTCTTTATACAGGAGAGGATTGACACTGCAACTATGTTTTGAGTGCTCAAAAATTACTATTCTGACATAACCATAGTTTATGAATTTTCTTATAATTGTGCATGAATGCATTTTCCTTTCCAACCTAGAAAATGCTATTTCTTTATTAGAGAGACTGTTCAGGTAATGATCTCAGCCGAGCAGCAGAGAATCTTATGTCAAATATGCTCAATTCATTCCAGAGTTGTCTGAAGATTGGATAGTTTTAGAATAACAGCCCTCCTTATTCACATTGATGTATCAGCTGTGACTATTTATTTCATGTTGCAAAGGAGGCAGTTCAATTCCTAATTGACTTGGCCAAAACTGGGGCACCATTCTTCCTTTATTGGGCACCGGACAGTACTCACTCCCCACATTATGCATCTCCAAAATTTCGGGGGAAGAGCAGCAGGGGTGAGTCAAATTTCCTACTTATGCATACAGAGGAATGAAAGCCAGCTTAGATTTTCATGCATGTATATCTCCCTGCAATGGTGTTGCCAGTCTTAATTTTTTTTGCATCATGTCCACATCTTGTGAAAATGTTTCAGATCACAAGATCCCACATGATCACAAAAGGTACAGAAACACTATAGAGACACTACCCATGATTTTCATCTGAAAGTTGTTATATCCATGATGATGGACGTCATGTTCTGTGTAAGTTACTTTGTTCAAGTACTACAAAAAGATGAACTTGTAAAAAAGTTTGCCCAAAAATCAACATGCAAAAAAAAGAACAAATTTCTTAATTCTCTTTTTCTCTCTTTTTTTTTGGAGGGGGGGGGGGGTCAGAGCTGAACTATGCATGGTGTAGCAGATATGCTATATTCTGAACCAAAAATTTTAGAATGTGTAGGTAACAAGATCTAGTGGTTCTAGCTCTAGTAGTTGGTTCATAGCAGATGTGCAGTTCTCATCCCTAGTATCCTAACAGTTGCTAGGTGGCCAACACTCCTTGTGGCAAGCAACCTGAAAACCCATGGTTTCATTGTATGAAAGACTTATGTTGGTGCAATTATTTTCAAATTTTTGCTAATCCAGAGTCCAGGTTAATCCGTATTTTTACATTTTCATTTGTGTTGAGGTACATATATGTACATGAGGTACATATGTGTTGGATTGACTGAATCTCTATCCTCCATGCAAAGTGTGGGTTAGAAAGCTAAATATGTTGTTTCTGGCAAATGTGCAACAATAAAATTTTGGGGCTTTCAACTTACAAATTTGAGGAATAAATATTTTTTTCTATTTTTCCCATGTTCTAGGACCTATATAAAACCCATCAGATTTATTTTGCCCCAAAAAAGAAAATATCATTCATTATGCAGTTCAGAGTAAAAGCCTGACAGGGGTAGCAGGGGATTGAGAGCATTCTGTAGTTGGTAACTGCCATTCAGTTTATATCTTCTGCAAATGGGAATGGGTAGGGCTAAGTATTGCCAAGTATTGTGTGAAAAAATTATGTATTTTTTCTTGCCAAATTGTAAAACGATACTAGAGAAGGCATGTTACTTTCTCACATGGCAATTTGTGGCTCACATTACCAAATGCTGCTTTGTGGAACTGTTAAATGTACTCCAGAAGAAAGTGATGAAAATGAAGTTCATGCATGATTATTTTTCTTGACTCTCATTATCATTTTAAAATCTAACATGTCTTTGTGTGTTGAGGTGTAATCTCCCAGACTTTAGGCTTTCAAGATAAATTGCTTCAGTAAATTCCCAAAGAACTATACCTCTGAATGCAAAAGAAAATAAAGAAGTGAATGTTCAGAAAAACACTCTCAACAGAAAATTTTTGATCCATCAGTGAGCCATTCTTCTATGGAAGTTAAAGTAATTCTGGAGCTGAGGGGATTTTGCATTTTAATACTGGAGTGCTATGCAACCTGCAGTAGATGCTTGGAGACACTCAATGTGGGTGAATAAGAGTAATTTCCTCATTAACCCTTTTACTGCCACATGGCCGATTTTTATGTCATCAAACAAGAACCCCACCTACATGAAGGAAGAAACCAATGGCCAGAAACCAAGAAACCAAGCCATGGCCAAAACATTGACCCATGGCATTTTTAGCAGTAGTACCCATGGTCAAAACATTGGCCACACAGCACTAAAAGGGTTACGTTGGTGATGGCTGAACCTTTGCCTTACTGAAGAGTCTTGAGATGCACTGGATATATTAGCTATATTCAGGCAGTGCTAGTGACTACCACAAATTTTCATTAGTTGCCTTGCAAACTCATGAATGAAGAATGGGGTATTATGTTGATCTCACATTTACATACCTAATCTGCTGGACGTAAGTGATGCCAACTTCTTTGACTGAATGATATTTTCTTAGCAACTGTGAAGGAGACATGAAATCCACATGAATGTATAAAGTTTGCTTCTCTCCTTAGGGTTTTCAGTGCCTGGACCAAGGACACACTTTTGTGTATCAGTTCTTTCACTTACCCATATGAGATTGAAAGTGAGACCATGTGGCAGTAACTTAGTAGCATTCACTTGTATTGCACCAAATCCCTCCTTCCTCATCAACACAGGGCTTTATGGTGATGCCATCATGGAACTTGATAACTCAATAGGAATCATCTTGACCACCCTGAAGGAATTGAAATTAGATAAAAACACCTATGTCTTCTTCACTTCTGACAATGGAGCTGCATTAGTGGATGGTGACCAAGGTATGGATATAGGTTGAATTGAAGCATCTTCATATTTACAGATATGTACAAGTGAATTGAACATCCATATCTCTAGGTGGAAGCAATGGTCCCTTTCTCTGTGGTAAGCAGACAACATTTGAGGGTGGGATGAGGGTGCCAGGCATTGCATGGGCCCCTGGTCGAATCCCAGCTGGCTCCACTGTACAAAGAGTAAGGCAGAAAAAATTTTATTCTATGAATATTTTGTTGATGAGATGGTGGGAGAAACTATTCTTGTATATTCTGACTTGATTCAGGATTATCGCACAGTGTTGATGCAAGAGATGTCCTCATCACAATTCAATATGTACTCGTAAGTACTAGATGACATTCAGATTGACAGAGCCACTCAAGTGCCATGGCCATTAGCCTTGAAGCCAAGATGCCAGGCAAACAGAGGTGCCTGTCCCCATCCCTGTGTATAGCTGATGAATTGTGATCAGCTGTCACTCAGAAGAATGACTGCCATCTCTTTTTTTTGCAAATGTTTTTGCTTTTTAAATCTGCATGAATGTTGCTAATGATTCCCAAGTGTGACATTGTGTCATGATCATTTCCAAATTACTCCTCCATTGCAGCAAATAAAGATGGAAGATAAAGATGAAGAATTAAAAAAAATTAATTCAGCATCTCCTTTCCTAAGATATACCTCCCAGCCTGTATTTTCAGTGTGTATGAAATTCCAAATGCAAGAAATTCACAGATCATGCTAAGACACATGAAGCAACTCAATTGCTGTTATACTTTGGAGATGATAAATACTGCTCCTATAGATTTATTTCAAATGGGCAATTATATGGGAATATAAGTGGTTCATTTTCTCTTGCTAGGTTTCCACACAGATGGATTTGTTTCCTACCATGTTGGATCTGGCTGCAATCCCTGTGCCATCAAATCTTACACTTGATGGTGCAAGCATTGTTCACACTCTCACTCATACCAATAGTGAAAAGGAGTAAGTTCTAATTGCCCCAGTTGTTTCTCTGTCAGAACATCTGTGATCTACCACTGCACCGTGAAATTTATCCCAAATGAATTGCTCTATGATAGTGTCAAATTATCTGAGTTACATATGGTGCAGTTGCCAGATCTTCCACTGTGCCCTTGTCAAACATCTGATCAGGAAATATGAAATAGCCTGCTGTATTAATGACGAAGAGCCATGACACCATTAGAAGGCCTAATGTACTACATGCACTAGCTGCAATAAAATATGAACAGTTTTCAGCAGGAAAATAAGAATCAAACAAGCTGCCTCCAATTGAAAAATCTGAGTGAAAAAATGTCAACTTTTAGATATTAAAAACTCTAGAGAGAAAATATAGGAAACACAGGAGATGTAGAAAATAAAGTGTAGTAACATAGTAAAAATGTAGTAGACAACAAAGCAGGAATTATGTGATTGATGTTTGGTAATAGAACTAAAAAAAATTGGTGAGATGTTGTGCCTCGTGTCTTTACAGGCAAGAAAAGCCAGTGTTCTATTATAGGGGAGACCTGCTCATGACTGTGAGGTTGAATCTCTACAAGGCTCACCTCTGGACATGGGCAACACCTGAGTATGAGCTAGTAAAGGTGAGTTTGATATGCTCAAGTACCTCATTTCACTATGAAGAAGTGTGTGCAATAATTCCTGATTGAACTACCCCCAAATTCCTCGGTATTATATTTTGAGAGTCTTCTTGTTCAACTTACAACTTCTTAATAATTATATATTATAGCCACATACATGACATTTATTGCAATAATGTCCAATGTGTCTGCCAGATCTTTTGCTGGAGCCCAAATCTCACATGCCCAGAAATTGGAAACAAAGATAAGTATTGAAAAGTGTAGTAAGTTGGGAACTGCAATGCAGTGGCTCCATTGTAACTCATCAGGATATAACTCTTGGTGCCTTTTCATGCCTTAACTCATCTTTCATGGATATGACTTATGACCTGAATTCTGATAGCTTCTTTTGCATATAAAGATATACATATCTTTATATGCAAAAGATCATTCAAGATCATTCATTGATCTTGAAACATGCATTACATCCCTCTCTTCCTATTTGCAAGAGGAATATGAAATGGGAATGAGATCATCAAGAGTCTCATTGCCAAATGTAATAGAGATGTACCCTTCTCTCTTCCCTAGTTTCTCATCTTCTTTTTCTAATTCAGTCCACACTAAATACTATGGGTGAAGGACATCTGATGGCTCACTATGTGACAATAATTTTTTCCACCCCTTTGTAGGTACCTTATCAAAAGTAAATAGTTTTTCGTCCATCTGATTTCTGTTCACATGATGGGAAGCTATGGCATGAAAATACCTTCAAGTCTGAGTGCAATTAACCCTTTCATGTATGGCGTCCACTGTAGTGGACAGCAAAATTTAGGGCAACGATGGTGTTTTAGCCATGGTTCACATACTTCAAAACTTTTGGTGCGTGCAGTCAACCCAAAGGTACATAATCTGTTCAGTGTTGCTTTCTAGTGGTGGAACATTGGACTACTATGGCAGAGCACCTTCTTAAATGTTAAACCAAAAAAGGCAATTTTTGTTTTGCTAAAAAAATTCATGCACAAAAGGATTAATGAGTACTGTCACATAACCTCTTGTACTTCCTTGGAGTGAAATGCTTCAACTTGTACATTCAACAGTGTTCCAGTCAGATGATACCTTTGAGTGTCTGCATTTAGAAGTCAAAAATGCTAAATTTAGGAGGGGTAAGGTTATTGTTTTGTCAATGCTTTGTCATACAAGTTTTTACTTTTAAATTCAGTCTCATGAAAAAGGAAAAAGCTATAGTATTTGTTAATTTCGTCTAAACCACCACATTACCAACCTTTACTTGTGTAGTCATGGAATTATGAGAATTTAATCATTTATGCAGATAAGTGTAAGTTTGGAATAGCAATCAGTCCCTTCCACTGCTGCAAAAGATCCAACTTCTTGTGGTTCCATTTCTATAGTTTTTATTTTAATGGATTTTCTGAGTTTGCTGTTTTGCTTCTGAAATGACTTTTTTTTTCAACTTTCTCCATTTCAGAATCCATTTTGAAACTAGGCAGGGAAGACTTATCCTATAATCCAATATCTGTTCATAAACATAGGTGTTGGTGTTTGTCCTAATGCAAAATAAAGTAAAACTGAAATGATGGCATTATACTCACTTTGATTTTTCATTGGGAATATGATTAAATCATCAATTATGTGTTGCACAAACCCTGGCTTTCTTGCAACTTTTAGGGAATCAATTTCTGTCCTGGCATGAGCCTGCAGGACATTGTCACATCAGAGCAAAAGAACCATACCAAAAGCCCAATTTTGTTCCATCTTGGAAGAGATCCAGGAGAGAAGTTTCCCATTCCAAGTTCATCGGCTGAGTATAAGAAGGTCATGCCAGCTCTTGAGCGTGTAGTTGCCGAGCACATTGGCAATTTGATTCCTGGGAAGCCTGCATTGAACTGGTGTGACCAGCATGTCATGGTATTTTTGCCTTTTGTTTTTTCTTCAGAAAACTTATTTCCTGATTCAATACATGGCTTAGTTTCATTTGAGAGTTACATACCAATCACTTCTCAAAAATGTTCATATTCAATCATTTTATTAAGTGGCCTTACCTCATTGAAACATGAAGTATTCATGTTTAGCAGCTAAAAAGGGCAACTTGGCACTGCATGCTGGTACCTTACACTTAGCAATGTCTAAATGAGATTCACCTTTATTGCTACAGATTTTAAATGAAGATGATCAAGAGAGGAGCTTAGAAGACTTGGCATTCTATCAGATGTGATCAACCATAGAATTGTGTACTTTTTGCTCTTTTTGATTTCCAAGTGAAACATGACTTTGCAGAATTGGGCCCCGGCTGGTTGCGAGGAGCTGGACGATTGCCTGCCGTCACCTGCATCTCATCCATACCTGTGTTCTTGGCCCCACTAGAATGAGGAATGAAGAAACAGAATGTGCCATGGATTTTTATGCATGCATTGTGCATCGGTGGGTGCATGCATTTGCGTTCTGCCCCTGCAATCACGTACTGCTGCTAGTACGGATTTGGATTTTTCAGTTGATTTGGTCTAGGTGGCCTTTCTCTCATGCCTAATGGGGAAAGTCATATGCCAACTACCCAGTGACTTGAAATGAATCATAGACGTGTCCTATTATCTCTAGGAGGAAAGACAGGGATGTGTTGTTTCCTGGCTTCATCACAGAAAAAACAATACTGCGATTAAACTCTGATAACCGTTCAGCCTGTTATCTCGTGGCACTGCTAAAAATGACAGAGTTGATTTCCTCTGAATATCATCATATCTATCGTTCCAAGGGCATCACAGCTTGCATGGACCAAATGTGCGTTCATGTAATATTCATGCTGATTGATTTCGTGGAACGTCTTTGAAGAAACCCCTTAACAGATTAACCAAAAAACAAATGAAAAGAGCTTTTGGAGAAAAATGTAACCCCTGAAATATTTAAGAAAACAATATAGTTTTTCTTTCGATATTGGAAATGAGGCTGATACAAAATTTAGCAGCGGAAAACAAAAATACAAGAGGTTTCAATGCGAGAATAATACCACTCTTGATTGGATCACTCGAACTACAATAATCGCCAAAAAAAAAAAACAAACACCAAGAAGGTGCTGAGTGCCTCTTGAAAACTGGTTCAAACGCTTATAGCAGTGTGCCTTGAAATTGATTATAGAGTCTCTAAGACGTTGGATGAATATTCAGAGAAAACTTGCCAAACAAATCCAACTTGAACGGAAGCGAGGGAGTCATACAAATCGCAAAAAAAAAAACGGTTCCCCAAAAAGATTTTTATTAATCAAATGTGGCAAGGGAACACCTAAAGACGTGTAGGAAAATCGAGGAAAGTTTCAAAGTCATAAGGTGAGGCTATGCAGAGAGAGAAAACTTGCCGAATGCACGAGAAATGGAGGGAAGGGGTGGTGGAGTTTACGCAGGTTTCTTTTCCTTTTCCCTCGAGCCATTTCGCTGCTAGGTCATTGTTGAGTGTCTGACTGCAGAACAATAGTGAGATGAAATCTCTGGAGTCAATGTCAAGTTTTTCGATCGTTTGATCTACATCGGTTAGTTGGAATGTTTTTGACGCATGCATAAAGCTGATGTATACATCCCAATCAACGAAAGAAAATTTTAAATTCCACGAAGGGCGCTGTGATTGCGAAATTTTCCGATGCCTGAAGCAAGCACCCGCAAGCAGGGCCGCCCAGAGGGGGGGGGGGCCGGGGGGGGACAAATGGGGCAATCTGCCTCAGGCCCCGTATATCAAAGGGCTTCAAGGGCCCGGGCCCCTGGAAACCTCTGGGCGGCTCTGCCGGCAAGAGAACACTTTACCTGGATTTGGCTTCCATATCCATCTGAAATGCCTGTCTGACCCGAGACTGTGGAGAAGACAGGTCAACGTTGTCGCCCTCTCGGGGGCATGACGGGATTCAGGTTTTGAAACCAGCCGGCTCGGCTCGTTTCGAACCTGGTTTGGTGCAGATCCCTGTGACGCGCCGTTCCCCACATCTTTATGTGGCACATGAAAGATTCCAGATGGCGAAAGTCGTTCAACGGGTTGCGTATCACCGGAATAGCCATTTTGCCCTGCTCTGACAGAGGAGATACCTGTTTACGTAAGTCCGTGAGATTCACAGCATTCAAATTAATTCACTGATCAGGGAACGAGAAGGGCCCACTCGGCAAGTTAAAGCACATGAGTTGAGTTCCAGGAGCTTGGATGACGACCAAACTGAAACGGAGTCGCGACGTGACGTCACAGATCACGTGATCCCGTCCCATTGGCCGCTTGTGGCCCATGGGGGAAAGAGATGGGAACATTCTTCCCGTCTAGCTAGAAGCCAAAGCGGAGTCTGTTCCCCCCTCCCTCCTCCCCCACAGGATGATGTCACGTGATAAGTGACGTCAGGAGGGATTCTCCCTTATTGGTGCATGCAGGTGCCACGAATTTACGGTTTCTTTCCGGCTACACGTCCACCCAGTCGACTTCTCCCCTCGCCTTCGCGCTACTGTCCCCTTTTTGATCCGTTTTCGTCGTGAGCTAGGGTCTGTCGTTGGCTAAAAGTATTTATTTTATATTATATACAGTACGGTACACTTACCATAGCACACACAGGGCATATGCTTAGCCACTGGACAATAGTATGAACATACGAAAACAAAAGTTACCGGTACTGAAAATGAACACCAGAATTAAAAAATCATTCCGCATTGATCACATCCAAAAAAAATTAGTCGTTTGCATCATTCTCAGTCAATTCCTGCGGTTGCTGAATAATAATAATAATAGCACGTGACTCCATTGACTCCGTTTCATTCTGCTCTTCAGGAAACTATAAGCATGGAGCGAATGAATTCCAACTTCTTGGTTCCCTTTAACGTTACTCCTGGTCAGAGACTCGAAAGATAACGTTAAAAGCAACGAAATTAACTTTCGTTATCTTCGTTGCTTGCCCCCGGTCTCATTAATTCAGAATTTAAAGTGAAAGCTTTGCGAAGTGGCTTTCAAGAAAGCCAGTTTCCATGGCCTGCAGAAAAGTTAGCCTGAATCCCCGTTTCTGATCGAGACCGATCGAAGACACAACCAGCCTTTCCTCAGCGTGACTCCGCCATTAGGCTAGGCCTAAGTTCGACGCGCGTCCGCAGGTGCACGGCGACCGTGCCGGCCTAACGTTGGGTCCACGAGCGCTTGAGCAGACGCTTGACTCGCCGGTTTGCGAGGGGAAAAACGACTTGCGAATGTGGCTAATGGATTTGCAGTCTTTTCTTTATGGGTTTACCGTTAGTAATAATTTCATGTCATCCAGGTTCAGTTTCAGAGATCGGTTTTTGCTGGTTAATATTATCCTGAACTATGCTGAGAATTTATTTATGCAGTTAAAAAGACTAAATTCCCTTTTCCTAAACAATTATACGAATTTTTTTTCCCCCCCCCCCCCCCCCCCCCCCCTTGTGGATTCCCTCGGAAGCTAGGTCCTGCCCTGTACAAGCCCCACTCGACTGACCTCGGACATGGGAGACGGTTCACCTGAGACCAGAGTGGGCCACAGGGTGTCTCAACCACAAGTTTGGAATCGAAGGCTTGAGAGACTCGAATCCACGCGGAAGAATATTCCCAATAGAAGCAGGCGAGATCCCGATCGACGCCCAGTCTGCCCCTTCCCGGCGGGACCATGCCATGCCACGTCGGCCACCCATCGCGACCGGGACGAGGATGCCCAGAAGATAATTCTGCTTTCGGTGTGACACATGGTACGTCATGCAAAATGGGTTCGCCTAAACAATTATATTTGGTCTCTCTTTATGTACAGGTACGATCAGCCAACGAGCTCGGCGTTATTCATCGCTTAATTAACCCTTTTAGGGCCGCGCGGCCGATTTTTCGACCACGTCTACTACTTCCAAAAATGCTGTTGGCCGATTCTTACGCCATGTAACAACAAGAATCCCAACGACACGAAGGGAGAAACCTAACGAAAAGTCTTGGCAGAAAAATCGGCCGCACGGCGTAAAAAGGGTTAATTGTCTTTAAAGACGAAACTAAAGCAGTGGTTCTCAACCGGTGGGCTGTGACGAGTATCTGTAGATTTTTCATTTAAAAAAATTATGATAAAAAAAAGCAGTTGAACGAACAAAAATGTTAGTCTGTAGTGGGCCTCGGAACACTTCGCAGTTGTTAAGGTGGGCCGCGAGATCGAAAAGGTTGAGAAGCATAGCTCTATAGGACATCCTCGGATCAAGGGCGGATCCAGAAGTTATGGAAGGAAAGCCCCCGATCCGTCCTACTTGCCACGGATTTCTACGGATTTGCCCCTTCGCTCTGAAATGCAGACGACGTTCAATGGGGAGGGGGGACACACGATCGCTCCCTTACGTCCGCCGCTGCAACCGATCGACGAGAGGGGATGGCAGGCGTCTTTCATCTTCATTATGAGAAGGAAGAAGATCCGTCTTCGCGGAACCGACCCGGATCTCCGTTATCGACCCCATCCGAAGAGAGAACCCGCTTCCCGAAGCCGTTCTCGATCGCGGGAGGAAGGGGAGCCGAAGGAGGGCGATCCCGGGCACGGGCGACACCGAGGCGGCGGCGAGGGACGTCCGAGTCTGCGTCTCTCGCCGGCAGGTGGCGGAAGGTGCCCGCCGTCCCCGGATTTTGCCGGCCGGTCGGCTTGGCGGTCGGCGCGAGAGTTGCTTGCCTGGATGCGAGTTTCGGACTGGGTATTTTCATTCCCATAACCGTATGAACTCACCGTGAGTCACTTATTAGTAGACGCATTTTACTATAATAAAAAAAAAATTGGACGGATCGTGAAGCCGAGCCCCACCACGCGAACACCATTCGCAGTCGTCGAACACGCGCGACGCAGTTCTTCGCAACGTTTGGCGAAGTCCTTGGCCGCGTACTGTCTTCGTGCATCCGCGAGAGACGCGAAACGAGTCCAGCGAACAGCCATC